CTCAGCTCTGTTCCTGAGGAAGAAGCTGGATCCTCATTGGTTGAGCCAGTGGTAGTTGCCACAGGATCTCAGAGGAAAGGCTTGAAGCGCCCTTCATCAAACAAAGATTATGATTACAAGGCACTTCTGCAAAAAGAGACTGAAAGGGCAGAAGCACAGCTTCGTCTGGCAGAGGAACAACTGACTCTGACCAAACTGCAGCAAACCAAGGCCAGACTTGAGATCCGCCTCCTAAAGGCTACGCTCAGACAAGCTGGTCTCTCCACATCAGATGAGGAAGTATGAAATTATTGTGGAGTATTTGACATTAAGTCTTTTATTTTTTAATTCAATACATCTATACTTGTTATAAATATCCTCAATGTACAGTGTTTGTGTTGTAGGTCTCAGATGAGTGGACTGCTGGAAGAGGATGGGGTGGGGTTTTTCTTGTTTTTAGTTTTTTTTTTTTTTTTTTTAAATGTGTGGGTTTTCATTTCAAATAAAAATAAACTTCTATTGACCCCACACTGGCTATTCTACTTGTTGCTCTTTACATATCTATAGTTCTACATTGTGATTTCCTATCCTGTTTGAGCACTGGTTATCCAGATTTGGTGATCCTGAAAAGTTCCTATCCGGATCAGATTGATCCAATCCGATGTTGCTTTAAAAAAACTGGCTCCAAAAGTAAACTGGATTATGTGATCACGGATCGCAAAAAAAGGATTACTAAATCCGGATCAATTTTATCCAGATTAAACCTTTTGAAAAACCGGGCCCTGGAGTTTCTTTTAATAAGCTAACGAGTTGAATCAGGTGTGTTTGATTAGGGAGACACACAAAATGTGCAGTGCTGGGGGGTGCCCAGGGTTGAGAAACAATGCTCTAACTTTTTAAAATTTTTAAATATTTTTTTTAATAAAAAAACAAACAAACGCTAGTTTTCTCTTTTTTTTATATTCTATCTACTTGTTTTTCTTTGTGTGTGTGTTTGTACACCATGCTACGTGTACTGCGTTAGGCTAACTGAGACTTGTCATTTGCACTTATATATTGTTGCTCTTTTGTTAGTTTTGACTGCTTTTATTGTCCTCATTTGTAAGTCGCTTTGGATAAAAGTGTCTGCTAAATGTAAATGTAGTTTTGTTTTTAGAATAAAACTAAGCTGTCCATGGAATGTCACCACTACAATTGCTGAACAAACTCTGGGTCACAGGATTGGTTTCACATACCATTCCACTGATCATCAACTTTCTCTGGATGCTTCTAATTTTTTTTATATGTGCATCTTTGTTTCCTTTCCTCGTGTCTTGGCTCCACCCCTTACGATGGAGGAATCAAAGGGAAACTTGTTTGCAAAGATTAAAATATAAACTACAATTATTGTGACATGTGAAGGAGGGGGTTTGTGTAATTTTTACATGAATCAGGTCTTTCAACGAGATACTATTTCCTCATAGTATACCTTCGGGTTGGGTATCGTTTGGGTTTTTTCCGATACTGCCAAAATCGATACTTTTAAAACTGTTCCGGTGCCTAAACGGTGTCCAATCCTGGCCCTGGAGGGCCACAGTACTATAGATTTTAGCTCCAACACACTTGCCTGCAGGTTTCTAGTGAGTCTGAAGACCTTGGTTAGCTAGTTCAGGTGTGTTTAATTAAGGTTAAAGATAAACTCTGCTGGATAGTGACTCTCCAGGAACAGGTTTGGACACCCCTGCTCCAGAATCGTCTTCGCTTTAATATTTAACATTCATGTGCATTTATTTATTCATGCCCTTTCATATTTTGTTATATTTAACTACATTCAGAACATTTTATTTATTATTACAGTATGATGCTGTTGTGTGATGTTAAAGGGCTCTCAAGGCTTTTTTTTTTACAACATCAAAATATATAGATTTAATAGATGTATGAAGTAATAGAAGAATAATGTACACATGACTTACAGAGTTGAACAAGCTATTGTGCCTGAAATGATTGGTATTCTTTATATCACTTATGACTGGGTATTTAAAAAATGTAACTGAATAAGTGAATGAAAATAATTCATTTTCTGACATCCTTTCATATAAAGTGTGGGACTAAAATGTCGATAAGAGCATTGTGTGATGGGATGCACGTTCACCAAACACCAACATCAGCCCTTGACCCCCATCATATCCCAAATACAAACACCAAATTATTAAAACAACCAATTGTGCAAAAATAATACCGAGATAAGCTATAATATTTTAATTCATTAATATTTTAATAGGAGCGTAGGGTCTCTAGATAGGGGGCAGTAACATTGCAACACATTATCTCAACGTTGTCTAACATCCTTCACGCTCAGTTAGGCATTTTGATTGACAGCAAGTACGTCCAATGAGCGCTACATTTAGAACCACATACCTCGATTAGACCCGCCCACACTGTGTGCATCAGCATCAAGCTAAGGTCACTCTCATTCGGGAACTTACCCAGCACTGCACAACACCAGCAAAGGAGAGATTTGCTGCAAATCCACAACCAAAATGTCTCTGTCAAACAAACTCACTTTGGACAAGGTGAACATTATCTCAACGTTGTCTAACATCCTTCACGCTCAGTTAGGCATTTTGATTGACAGCAAGTACGTCCAATGAGCGCTACATTTAGAACCACATACCTCGATTAGACCCGCCCACACTGTGTGCATCAGCATCAAGCTAAGGTCACTCTCATTCGGGAACTTACCCAGCACTGCACAACACCAGCGAAGGAGAGATTTGCTGCAAATCCACAACCAAAATGTCTCTGTCAAACAAACTCACTTTGGACAAGGTGGATGTGAAAGGGAAGCGCGTGATCATGAGGCGAGTATGAATTGTCACCGGCACATTCCGTTTTATGACTTACTAAAGATATTTCAGCATGCTCGTGCTCTCCATTTATGGGATATGCTGTATGGCTTAATGTAGGCACATACAAATTTAGCTTGAATTGTTTTGGGCGTCGCTCAAGGTTATGCGAAAGCACGCCGCGCGAGTTCAATCATTGATAACCGGAAGTGTATCTGTCATGCGTCACGTTTGAGGGATTCCAGATACGTGCCGAATGGCAGATACACCAAAAGCACGTGCAGATCCTCTAATATCTGTCATAACTCCGTTGTATTCAAATAAATGCAGATTCTTAAGAAAGTTCTGACGCAATTAGATCCCGTAGACGCTGTGAATATGTCTTGGTGAAATGATGACACCACCCATCTACAAATGTCAAATGGTCAGGGAGCCTCTGGTCACTTTATTTGTGTATTATACCGACAACCAGTACGTTTTCACATCACATGCTGTTTTATAAAGTCTTTTGCACGTGTGCTGGCGGGTTTATACCAGTATGCACGTTCATTTAGTGGCGTGTTCGTACTTGTTATATGCTATTCGTGTCAGTCACGCATGCAAGCTATTTTTTTTCATGCACATAAATGAAGATTGTTTATAAAATGTTCCGCTAAACGACGCCCACATCTTCTCAGCAGCTTTTAGCATAATATACCTTTGGTATTCCGAACGCAGTCAAAAGGCCTGCCAGCAAAAAGTCCACATTGGCCGACAAACCCGCCCCGCCCACACTATATAAATATCCAAATGCTGTATAATTTTGAATAAGTAATTAGTAGCCATTTTAAGTGTTTCACGATGAGTCAGTAAATATCCCTACAGTTGCAATGACCCGTGCTCTTACAACGTCCACAGTCTGGTTCCAAACTGCAATAATATTGTCTAATATCTTATCAGGCCGATACCGATAACAGAAAAAATGAGCATTTATCGGCCGATACCGATATGGTGGCCGATATATCGTGCATCCCTAATATTAATAATATAACATTAGCCTGTGCATTGACTCTTCCCTGAATACATCTGAACAGTGTTGGGAGTAACTCATTACAAGTAACGCGAGTTACGTAATCAGATTACTTTTGTCAAGTAACTAGTAAAGTAACGCATTACCTTTTTAATTTACAAGAAAATATCTGAGTTACTTTTTCAAAAAAGTAATGCCAGTTACTTTGTTTTCCCATTTATTGACTGACAGCTCTCCTGCCCCCATATTGAAAGAAATCGGAAGTGCAGAGGAGTTGTGTGCGCTGAGAACATGATGTTACTGTAGTTCTAGACTAACTGTGAATGTGCATTAATTCATCCCACTCACAAAAAATTCAAAATGAATTAAAACGGTGAAATGCAAACTCAGAATATGACGCAAACCTGCAATAACTAAATATGTTAAATAACACAAATGTATCTAATCCCATTTTATTAACCGATGTCTTTGCTGCTGACCTTCGACGATCCAGTTCAACCGTACTAATAAGCAAAAATGACTTTAGATAAACTAACAATTGTGCTTTGTTTTTTTATTGCTGAAGAGATAAATCATGGCATTTTATGTAGCTAATTCTATAGTAGATCAATTTCTTTTTCTCTCTCTCCAATAGGGTTGACTTCAACGTGCCTATGAAGGACAAGACGATAACCAATAACCAGAGGTGAGATGGATATTGCTGATATAACATTTTGTTACTTTTTCTTTTTTCCTTATCTAGCCAACAATGGTTCTTTCTCATCCTGTCGAAATATTGCAATGTTTTTATCATTAAAATGTGTCCACAGTTTTGTTTATAAATTATCATTTATTTATTCATGTCTACGTATTATTGCAAAATTTGAAAGAACTAATAAAGTTCTAGACATGATTTGAGCATTACTTGTAATGACGATTTCAACAAAGAAATGAACAGTGTTTACAACTTAATAAATATTAGTTTCTATAATGTCAACAGTACTATTTAAAAGTGTATTTGGTTTGAAATTGGTAAAAATACCAATTTGTGATTACAAAATGTATTTTATTATTTATTTTTTTGTAAAGAACTGACTCCCTTTTGAAAGACATGTTGGCCATGTGCTACAGAATTTGTAACTAATAATATATATACTCTCATCAGAATCAAGGCTGCAGTCCCATCAATTCAATATTGTTTAGATAATGGGGCCAAAGCTGTAGTTCTGATGAGCCACTTGGGCCGGCCAGATGGAGTCCCCATGCCAGACAAGTACTCTCTGGAGCCTGTGGTTGCAGAACTCAAGAACCTGCTGGGAAAGTAAGAGAGTTCAGTATAGACTTTTAACCTACACATTCTACACCATCAGTTAGAAATAATATAAACCTTCAAGCTACATCTGTTTGACAGCAGTGATGTTATATAGCTTTACTGCATAAACATAAGAAATGTATGGTAGAAAATCATTCTCAAGCTGACATCTTAATAGCAATGCATACATAATTCAGCTTATTGCTTCGCCACCAACCTTGCTGTTTAATTTGCCTGTGAAGAGACATTCAGTTCCTGAAGGACTGTGTGGGTCCAGATGTGGAGAAAGCCTGTGCAGACCCACCTGTAGGTTCTGTCATTCTGCTGGAGAACCTGCGGTTCCATGTGGCCGAGGAGGGCAAAGGCAAAGACGCATCGGGTAACAAGGTTAGTGCACCGTACATCTGCACTGTACATAAGTGGCCCTGCAGAAAGTGCTTGGTCATCTTACAGGGCTTTTGCCGAGTTTTTAAAATCAAATGGAAGACTTTTAAGACCTGCACAAATAAAATGAATACAGTCCACACAGAGCAGATTCCACACAAATTCTAAATCAATAATATATCTCAGATTCGTTTAATAATTAAACAAGATGGAGAGCACACCTTCAGGGTGGCCCAAAGAGAAGCCACAAGAGTTTACATTGAATTAAATATCATACCATATTAAATACCACAGCTATCCAGAATTTTAATTTTTTTTATGCAGACTGCAACGTTTAATAATTATCAAGTCCAAAATACAAGGAGACTCTTATTTTGAAATGTGTATGCTTTACTACTTCCAGCTGCTAGTTAAAAAAGCAGCCACAACACGTTAAAATATAAACTCCGTAAAGTAAACATTGTCACAATTCATCAGTAGTAAAACATAAGCAATCACTCAGCATAAATGTGCGTAAATGTATTAAATAATTGTTAACCGTTCTAGAACAGCGAGCCTGTAGAATGCACTGCAGTGGCGTGTTTTAAAATGTACAAATTTAAGACCGCTTAAAATGATAATTAAGACTTTTGCTATAACATTTAAGATACTGAATAAAACTACAATGACTGTTAAACTTTTTTATTTATTTATTATTGAACTGTACTGTTTTTAATGTAAATAGACAATGTTCTTATTCAGAAATGTTGAACTGATATATTTGAAAAAAGTATCACCTTAATGTATTTTAGATTTTTTTTAAACATTTAAGATACTGAATAAAACTACAATGACTGTTAAACTTTTCTTTTTATTTATTATTGAACTGTACTGTTTTTAATGTAAATAGACAATGTTCTTATTCAGAAATGTTGAACTGATATATTTGAAAAAAGTATCACCTTAATGTATTTTAGATTTTTTTTATGTCTAGTATTAACGTGAAATGTCTTGTATAGCTTCTTGTTAATTGTAAGACTTTTATTTATTTTGTTTTCGCCATTAAGATAGCCTTGCTTCTGACATGGCATTAAAAAATAAATAAGATACTGATTAAACTTAAGACCATAAGGTCAGTAGGATCTGTGGCCTTAAATGCCATGTGCTCAAAAAAAGAAAAAGAAGTGAGAACTGGTTATTTGGTGTAGCTTTTCAATACGGACTCTTACAACTACAGATATTCAATATCAACTAATCAGTAAAGGAAGCCCTCTAAAATTAGGCTGGTTTCACCAATCTTACCAAATCATTCTGTTTTGGCTCAAGAAGCTAATAATTGGCTTTTATCATTATGTCAAATCTTATCTACAAACCACAAGCTACTACTGTCAAAGGCAATTGGTGGCTTTGCGTGCATGTGGAGATACTGTACGCAGCTGACCTATTGACATTTGTAAGAAGGTCATATGTGATCATGTGGCTTTTCTGGTCCTCGGAGCCCTGGCTGGAATGCATACTGGGAAGGGGAGAAGAGAAAGAGAGAGGGACGAGTAAAGAGCAAAGAGCAAAGAAAGAGACAGGGAAACTGCTATGGTCTTTGCTGGCAGGCAACTGCAGTGAACTTGCACTTGGCATTTTCTAGGCACCTGTGTAACCTTTCATTCACCGTAGTTCAGAAGTCATAAACTTTGAGTGCATACGGACAGCAGTAATGTGATCATAATTGTAAGTACGTTGGTCTTGATCCAGGGGTCTTACTGTAACTGGGATTAAAATACTTTCATCAGTTTACTGTGCAAACACACTAAGTGCACCATTTTTGGTTTACACATTATTTATTTGTTTTGAAACGTGTACAAATGTGTGCTAAATTGGTTCGACCAATGGCGTGAGTTTAGGGTGGGACTATATGTTAATCACACTAAAGGCCTGCACACATCAAGACAAGTATTCAGTGAGAAAGTTTGTTGCGATAAACATTTGAATTTGAGTGAACGGTTGTTAATGGGTCTTTTCAGACTGACATTTGCATACTATTGATGTGAGAAGTTTTTTTACGAAGAGAGGTAACTGCATTTTCATTTAGCCCATCTGCCATTTTTTACATATTGATCTGAACAGACAAATCTATGGAAGCCCGTTTCCGCCCTAGGGATGTAACGGTATGAAAATTTCTTATCACAATTATAGTGACCAAAATTATCACGGTTATCAGTATTAACACGGTATTGTTCAAATGTGCTGGAGATGTTAAAAAGTACCGACACATGAATCACTTCACCAAGTTTTATATTTAAAAATCAACAAACAACAAATAAAATGACTTTTTGTTTGCATAATCACAACAATAACATTATCAATGATGTTCGGATTTTAAATGACGACTTGACTGACAACAGTTTAATAGCATGTTGAAATATCTAATGTAGATGTTCAAATAAAGCTTTGAAAAAGTTTCATAAAAAGGTAAACCTCACATTTCGGCCGTTAAATAAAGAAAATATATAAGTCCAAATGATAATTGATTAATTAATGATTATATGTATTTAATCGGCTCCATAAATAATTCTAGATAACTTATCTGAATTGTTTAAATGTGTAGAATCCACATAAGCTTGTTTTTCATCAACCGGTCAAAATTTACAGCAGGGCATGCAAATTCAGTCCGTTTTTGGCCAGAGAGAAACTGCACAGGCTGAATGTAAATATAAGTCTCTGTAAATCCACTCTCTGACACTATGGCGCTGATGGAAAAGCTGAATTAGAGCTGTTTCTCGTAACCTCCGTGGACAAAGCAGTATTGTGATTAAGAGCACTTCCTTTAGGTATTACATGGAGCGACGATGAAAACAAAATGCCATCGAATCGTTTCTGAAGACAGTCAGAACCTTCAGAGGTACATTCATATAATTCATTCATTCATATATTCATTAGTATAATTCCCTTAGCACTCTTTTAAAACCTCCCAGCTTCTCCACCCTGTTTTCACTCAAAACGAAACTACTCTGTGTGCTGTGCGCACGTGAGACTGTTACTGAAAACTGTGCTTTATGCTGGACAGGGTTTATTTATCGCCAGTTGTTCAAATTGCGGTAATCTAATACGGTTTTAATGATAATTAAAAGATGAAAACGGAAATACTAACCGTGGGGAGTTTTAGCATGATTTATCGTCAAACTGGTAATCGTTACATCCCTATTTCTGCCACTGAATAAAAAAATAGAAAGGGTATTTGTGACTTTTTATCTCAGAATTCTGACAGTTTTTCTCACAATTCTGACTTTATGAAGTCAGAATTGCGTGTAGACTTGCAATTCTGAGGAATAAAGTCAATATCAAAGCTTGCAATTGCGAGAAAAAAGTCAGAATTGACTTTTTTCTCAGAATTGCGAGTTTATATCTCGCAATTCTGACTTAAATTGTAACACGTTATAAGCAAGTTATAAAGTCCGAATTGGGAAATATAAACTCGTAACTGTAAGAAAATATCGGCCTTTTTTCCACTCAGAATTGGACTATATTCAAGATTGAGATATAGCTACTAGATTGAGAAAATTAGTCCGAATGGAGAAAAAAAGTCAGAACGGAAATACTAACCGTGGGGAGTTTTAGCATGATTTATCGTCAAACTGGTCATCGTTACATCCCTATTTCTGCCACTGAATAAAAAAATAGAAAGGGTATTTGTGACTTTTTATCTCAGAATTCTGACAGTTTTTCTCACAATTCTGACTTTATGAAGTCAGAATTGCGTGTAGACTTGCAATTCTGAGGAATAAAGTCAATATCAAAGCTTGCAATTGCGAGAAAAAAGTCAGAATTGACTTTTTTTTCTCAGAATTGCGAGTTTATATCTCGCAATTCTGACTTAAATTGTAACACGCAATTGAAAACGGAAATACTAACCGTGGGGAGTTTTAGCATGATTTATCGTCAAACTGGTAATCGTTACATCCCTATTTCTGCCACTGAATAAAAAAATAGAAAGGGTATTTGTGACTTTTTATCTCAGAATTCTGACAGTTTTTCTCACAATTCTGACTTTATGAAGTCAGAATTGCGTGTAGACTTGCAATTCTGAGGAATAAAGTCAATATCAAAGCTTGCAATTGCGAGAAAAAAAAGTCAGAATTGACTTTTTTCTCAGAATTGCGAGTTTATATCTCGCAATTCTGACTTAAATTGTAACACGTTATAAGCAAGTTATAAAGTCCGAATTGGGAAATATAAACTCGTAACTGTAAGAAAATATCGGCCTTTTTTCCACTCAGAATTGGACTATATTCAAGATTGAGATATAGCTACTAGATTGAGAAAATTAGTCCGAATGGAGAAAAAAAGTCAGAATCGTGAGATAGTCGCAATTACTTTTTTTTTTTTTCAGTGGCGGAAACGGTCTTCCATGCAAATCACATTTTAAAAAATTGGATAGAATTTTCACAAACAAACAACAAACATTTTTGTTGGTGTGAACAGACCTTAATGCCAAAAAGGGGGAGCATTTCACATTTTTTCTGCAGACATCACGCATCTTAAATTTATTTTTTTTATTCTTCAAGTGGCATGTAACCTATAAGTGATTTTGATTCCTCTTTTCAGACCAAAGCAAGTCAGGGGGAAATCGATTCTTTCCGAGCCTCCCTATCCAAGCTGGGTGATGTCTACGTCAACGATGCCTTTGGAACTGCGCACAGAGCTCATAGGTGCTCTATTACATAAAACAGTGATAGAAAAATAGAAATGATCAAGTTTAGACTGTTAAATGTTTTTTCCCTTGTTTTTTTTTTATAAGTCTTAATTTTTTAACTTTAATGTCTCACTCTAGCTCCATGGTTGGAGTGAATCTCCCTCAGAAAGCAGCTGGTTTTCTGATGAAGAAAGAGCTGGACTACTTTGCCATGGCCCTTGAGAAACCACAGAAGCCTTTCTTGGCCATTCTCGGAGGGTGAGTGTTAATTATGGAGTACTTTGATTGCTTATATTTTAGTTCTTAATACTGTCTTGGTTAAGGAGGATAAGTTTTAACTAGGTGTAGTTATTAAAAACGTAAAGACCTTGCATGTGCTTGCAAGATCTTGTCCATGACCAAAGGAAAGGCTTTTAGAGTTTTACGGAGTTCATCAGCAGTATACTGAACTTCTAAAAAATATATAATGGAAGATATCATGTGAGATGCTTTTCTAGAATGCATCTGTCTTCTCCCACTTGTAAAAACCTTTAGAAAGCATCAGTGACAGTCCAGGAATAGACGAGTTTATCCTCTTATGCTACAATAGGACGTGTGACAATATCCTTCTTGCTCTATGCTTCTTTAAGCCTCACCTCCCATATCTGGCTGTAGAAAGAATTGTGTTCATTTAAACATTTGTTGATTTCTAGTTTCATGTCCTGTTAGTGAAATGGTGAGACCTTTGTGATGCAACTATGCAGGATGCAATGATGAAACTCACTTAAACCAGATTAGCAATGATCAGAACAAAGTTTTCTTGTGGAAATGGAAGGTTCAATGCAAATGACTTTCTGAAGTCAAAGTCCAGGCCATTTCACAGCTTACACGCATACTATGTCTTTCTTTCTTTTTTTTTTCTCCCTGAAAGCATCCACCCCTGCACATTCATTGGCTCATTTCCAGTTGTGACTAAAGCAGTCTGTGTCTGGGGTTTGTCCCAATAACAAAGTTCACTGAAGGAATTGACCCACTGATAAGCTGTACTGCAATGCACAACAAGCCTTAAAGTTATGTCTCATAAATAAACCGTTCTAGGGCACTTCCTGCAATTTCTCAGAAGCGGAAGTTTCTCAGTTTCATCCCAAAAAAGATTTCCGTTTAAAAATGAGTATTTCATTGAAAAGGCTTTGTTTGAATGATTGTTGCTTTGATCGTACAGGGCCAAGGTCAAAGATAAGATTCAGCTGATCAACAACATGTTGGACAAGGTGAATGAGATGATCATTGGTGGGGGAATGGCCTTTACTTTCCTCAAGGTTCTCAAGAACATGGAGGTGAGTGGCTTGAAGCTTCATTCAAACTGCAAACTAAAGTGCCCAACTGCATTTTTTGTTTGTTTTATTTTTTTACATTTATTAGTGTATTATAGAAATGTGTATATATATATATATATATATATATATATATATATATATATATATATTATATATATAAAATGTCCCATTGAATAATATATATATATATATATTAGGGCTGGGTAAAAAATATCGATATCTCGATATTAATCGATTCTCATTTTTACGGAACGATATCGATTCTTAAATCCCAAAAATGGATTAGTCTAGCCTGTTTTCAGTAATTTGGACGGAACGTATTGTGCTTGGGTACTTTTAATATGAAACAAAGTCTCAGATTTCAAATTCTCTCCATTGTATTGCAGTATTCAAACAATAAATGCTGTTTTAGCGCTGTTTAATGTGGAGTGACAGATCGCTGTTGCGCCTCGATCAACAGCAGCAGCGCGAGGCGCACGTGAACTGATCATCTCCTCCACATTAATACCAGTTTCAGCACAAAATAAACATGAATAAACATCCGAAGGTAAGTTAAATGAAAGAGTACAACTTTACAATCCGTATTCTGTCTCATGTAATCGCTCAATCAGTGGTTCAGCTGCGCAAAGACGTCAATATAACAGCTCGTAAACAATGTCACGTAACGTCACATTTACCTCAGAAAAACATATTTTGTGACCATTAACTCATTAGTCAGATAGAAAAATTAACTGTAGAGAGGGACATTTTGCTAAATATATGCACAATATAACATAATCATGATACATTTGACTGTTCTTCAGTGTTTAAGATATGTTTAAATAAATCCATCAGGTTTTTATGACAGCCACCAATATGTATATATTAAAAAATAGACTAATTGAAGTACACATTATGTAATTGTAACTTTATTATTTAAAAAACTTCATTGTGTAATTTTAACAAATCAGTCAACCTTTAACCTTCAGTATTATAGTAATGTAGTACAAACTGACTCATGTATATTTTACAGCATTAGTTGAGAGATTTTTTTTTTTCCTTGAGAAAATTTGGCATGAACTGTACCTGATATATATCCAAAATAATCGATATCGAATCGAATCGCAAGCTTTTGAATGAGAATCGAATCGTGAAATTTGTGTCAAAACCCAGCCCTTCTATATATACAGTGGGTACGGAAAGTATTCAGACCCCCTTAAATTTTTCACTCTTTGTTATATTGCAGCCATTTGCTAAAATCATTTAAGTTCATTTTTTTTCCTCATTAATGTACACACAGCACCCCATATTGACAGAAAAACACATTGACGAGAAGGCGGTGACAGGGTCTGCATCAGTAGCCGATGGTATTCCAGCTGGCTGGATGGTAAGGCGGACAAATGTTAAGATTGTTTAGAGCTGTATGATCTTCTCCACTTCCTCTGAAGTGAACTAGAAATGGTTCTGCTTCTGTCCAGGGTCTAGACTGTGGTTCTGAGAGCTCAAAGCTCTATGCAGAGGCTGTAGCCAGAGCCAAGCAGATTGTGTGGAATGGACCTGTTGGTGTGTTTGAGTGGGACAACTTCTCTCGTGGAACCAAGAACTTGATGGACAAAGTTGTGGATGCGACCAAAAATGGCTGCATCACCATTATTGGTAAGAATTTAATTCCATAGTTTAAGTTCTTGCCTGAAATGCACGTAATGGCGCATATCTAATAGAATGGAGGTTGACCGCAAGGTTATTATAGTTTTGAATTTTTGAATTCGTTTTATTTCAAATTTGCTATAAAATTCAGTTGTTTTTATTAGTTTCATTAATATTTTTGTTAGTTTTTATTTTGTGAACACGTTTTTATATAGTTTAGTTTCAGTTTTAATTAAAGTTTAGCAGAATTAACAGATCACTTCCAGAGCGCAGGCCAAAGAAAGACATAGGCATAATTTAACCTTAGTGAGGCAAACATATAGCGAGACAAAATTAACGCATGCTGAGATTGATCAGATAGTAAAAGTATACAAATATACGCCAAAGAAAGCAGTCAAGCCTTTTTTACTAAATTAATCTACACAAGTTGCGCTTAATGCCATATCCAATGATGTGTGTTGAGATATTTAGTATGAAAATAGGCTAAATATAGCCTGATTTGGTTATTTCTTATTTAACCAGAATCATGATATTGTAACTTGTGGTGTCTTGCTCACTTTTCTTGCTCACCTAATGTTGGTTTGATTGCTTGTGTTACATGATAAAATAAATAATCTTGCTTACCTGATGTTATAGATTTAATGCGAGTGCGGTTCGGGTCGCAACTGGCGGTCTTTGTCAAACGTTTTTGGTCTGGTACAGAATCAAATTAGTACTGCTGTCAGATAATGGGTCGGGTGTTCTGTTAAGTACTGCTGGTGCACGTTTAACAAACAGGACCCGTGCAGACTGCTTTGCGTCTCTCCGTCAGATAACCCCATGTGCGTGATGCGCCATTACAGGTAGGCTATTTCCCTAAACCTCCACACAGCTCGTATATTTTTCCGCCAAGGGGTGAGAACGTAATGATTACGAAAACTATTATTTATTTTTGCTAATTATTTTATTTCAGTTTGTTTTTCAATAACTGTTGTTAGTCCAGTTTCGTTTTAGTTTTTCAATTATTTTGACGTTTTTATTTTATTTCAGTTTACGAAATAGTTTTTTCATCAATCGTTTTAGTCTTAGTTTTAGTTTTCGTTTACAAAAATAACCTTGGTTGACCGATATATATGGCCAGGGCCAATATTATCTGCTGATATTTGGCTATTTTTAATTATCGGCATTGCCTGATTAGTGTCATGAACGGTACTTTTATTCAGCTTCTGAGTTGAGACGATGAACTGAATAACAGTTCTGTGTAATAATTGAAAGGCAAATGCTGTAATTCTTTATTCCTAAACTGTCAGCAAATACACATTTTAATCAAGTCTTTAAATACCTAATGAAAATTTAATGCCACAAATCTTGGCGAATCTAGCTGTTAGATCTTGTGTGTATAGCCTGCATAAAATGCTTGAACCCTGTGCATGAAAGTTCACGCAAGGATCCAAGCCATGGGAATTGAATGCGAGCAGGAGAGTTCTGCCATCACTGGAGATGCACGAGCCAGCAACTTGAAATCCTTGAATTCAAACTATACAGTGCAATATCAGTTATTTACTATCATTAAATTAAATGGTGTGATGTGATATATAGTTCTATTGACTTATTTCTTCAGTCATTGGCCACTCAGCTCTCTAAGATATCGCCATCGGTCGTTTAAAAAGAATTTCGGTCCATGTCAGTCAACCACTATAATAAACTATACTAATTGACATCTTTATTTCTTTAAATTCAGGTGGGGGAGACACAGCAACCTGCTGTGCCAAGTGGGACACAGAAGACAAGGTCAGTCATGTGAGCACAGGAGGCGGAGCCAGTCTGGAGCTGCTGGAGGGTAAAGTGTTGCCTGGTGTTGATGCCCTCAGCAACGCATAATTGCTCTGAGCCTCTTCTGCCAAGGGTTGGGAAGCTGTCATTCTTACTCACTCAGCATTTGTTCAGTGTTCTATCACCTGCAAATGACAACTACTCCACTCTCTATGGACTCTCTGACCTGTTGACTCATGCACATTCAGATCATCCATTTGCTTATCTTCTATCAAATAACCTAAAGCGTTTCTCATTCAAGATTTTTTCATCCATTATGAGTGAAAGGTTGACATCAGCAGTAATGGCTGTTCCTGTTATGGTTGTTATATTCGAGAAGATGGGTCATTTGTTTTATCTGCTTAAGTGTTAATGTGTCCCATTGTAGTCTGAATGTGTGCATAGTGTAATCGTTGTGTTGTAATTCAAAAGTTTATATTTGATATTTGTGGCCTCCCCACAGATGTTGAGTACCTGTAATACTGTAGACACTTTCCTCCCCATATTGCACTTGTCATCCTTGACCTGCAGCTTATGAGATGGATGTTCCGCACTGGAATTATTATGATGGGCTAATTGTTAGACCCAGGCGACATGTCGTGGAGTAAGAATGAAAATAATAATAAAAATCATAAAAATCAGAACTTTTGCTTCAAGTAATTTTTTTTTTGTTCGCAGCCAGTGTGGTATTGTGGTATTATGAGAGATGGTAGTTACCAGAAAACAATGTGACAACACTAAAGAAATTACACTTTGCTACAATGTAAAGTAGTGAGTGTACAGCTTGTATAACAGTGTAAATTTACTGTCCCCTCAAAATAACTCAACATTAATGTCTAAACCGCTGGAAACAATAGTGAGTACACCCCTAAGTGAAAATGTCTAAATTGGGCCCAAAGTGTCAATATTTTGTGTGGCCACCATTATTTTCCAGCACTGCCTTAACCCTCTTGGGCATGGAGTTCACCAGAGCTTCACAGGTTGCCACTGGAGTCCTCTTCTGTTGAGTTATTTTGAGGGGACAGCAAATTTACACTGTTATACAAGCTGTACACTCACTACTTTACATTGTAGCAAAGTGTCATTTCTTCAGTGTTGTCATGTGAAAAGATATAATAAAACATTTACAAAAACGTGAGGGGTGTACTCACTTCTGTGAGATACTGTATGCTAGTGGCAATTTGTGAATACGCTCATGGTTGTTTTACCTCACTTTACCTCACATTTGTCAAGTTTATAATCTCAAAATTAGTTTTGTCCAAATAACACATCATATGAACTGAATTCTAATGTAAATATTACAGCTGGACGTTAAAGTTAACAAAGACAATAATTAAAAGAAAAGAAAAAAACATGGGTATCTAAATAAGTTTAACAAAAAGTGGCTCACCCTATATAAATACATCCAACTTTCTATTAAGTGAGCCAAAGACAGCTGTAGGCTACTATACCAAACTTTCTTTATTTCCGACTCGAAATTAATCTGGAAATAATACTTAATGTTCTGTTGTACAGTACGGCTCGTCGTGAGATTTAAATTGTTGTTGGGGGTCGTGTATTCTAGACTACATTTCCCATAATGCACGATATTGTCTTAGCTCCGCCCTCACCTGCTGAGGTGTGTATGCGTCATTCAGCACAACACAGCTGTGAGCGAAAAGTGCGGGGTTGTTTTCGGGATTAAGGTAAAATATGATTTTAAACTCGCTTCACTTCAACCCACAACTTTGGTAAAAAGCCTGAAGTCGAGAACTTTATGTTAGTGAATTGTTTGTTGTTTGTATGTTTATATTCATTGCTTGTGTGACGTTAATTTCCAAGGAAGGAACGATGCTGAAGGAGAGAGTGTAAATGCAAGCAAGCATGATTTCAGTCGAGGACTGGAGCCCAGACCAAGTGTCCACATGGATAAAGCATATTGGATTTCCTCAATATGCGCAGAGTTTTGTGGGTGAGGTGATTCATTTTCATCGAACATCTGAAGAGTTACAACAGCACAAATACATTAACATTTAAAAGGCTGTAGTTTGTGAAATGTGACAACATGCCCCGTAGGTGGGGTACATTGTAACATCTGAGGGGCACGTTGTAACATGACCATATAACAGCTTAAAATGGTATCTGATTGCATGAAAAAAAAAAAATACAAGACAAACTAAAAGATTTTGTCAATAAAATATTTATTTAAAATAAAATAATGCAGTTTTTTAAGAATGAAAAATAATCTGATTTTGGAGTTTGACAATGATCACATTGCAACCATGCTTGGGACGGCCCACATAAACGAGCCTAAATGCTTTACATGTCTTGAAATAATAATTTCTTAACATTAAACATTGACTGTCAGTCTTTATTCACCTGTTTCTCGTCGTTTATCATTCAAATGTATTAAAGTAAATAGTGTGAATTACATCGCTAATGTCATAGAATAGCACATTGTAACGCAGTGTTACAACATACCCCATCTGCGCAACTGGAATTTAAAACTGGTTACTGTCTTCTGATAGTTAGCGAAGCATTAAAATAATTTAAACTGATAAATAACAGATTGGAGATTAAAATAGCAGATGTGTCTCAATTTAAAATGAGTAATAAAAACTGAGATGAAAAATTGACTTAAGCCAGAAATATAATATTACTATGGTCAAATAAATGTTCAGCGATATCTTAAAGACTTTTGAATTTTGGCGCACTTTTTTTCTCTATATAATGTTGATATAGTAACTAGTAAATGCTGTAAATTTGGTTATGCTAGCATGTGTGGAAATATTTAAACCACGTGTGTTACAACTTACCCCACGTTACTTTGTGCCCCGCGCTCCCCTATAACTAATTACTAATACGATTTCAGTAATAATATTACAGTTACCATCCATAAAACAGCTAGTTACTTAGTTACTTTTGATGCCTCAACCCCTACTGATTTGAAATCCAATAATTCCTATATTTATTTTCATAATTTTCACCACTCGCTCAGGCACATGAAGTCACCAGTGCATCAGGAAATCTTGGAATATGGAAACGCTTGCATTCAGGGAATGGAAATATTACCATACACTGATTTTGTCAGGGGAAAGCTAAGGTGATCTGAACACAGATGTGGAAGTTGTGGCTTCACTCTGTATATATTACTTTACTCTGGCATTACATGGCTTGCCCACCCACATCCATCTGATCCCGATATAATGATATATTACTATAATTAAAAATCCTATGAACTTATGTGATTTCTTTTGATAAAATACTTCATGAAATTTAATGATACTGTAGATATAGGCAGGGTCGAACAATGGCAAACAGGTATATGGCGGGCAAAACACAAGAATAGTCCCAGGGCTAGCGTAGGTCACCGATCGGCAGACAGAATCACAGGGGCGAGACGAGAGGGAGAAATCCAGGAAAACAGGCAAAGATCAGAAACTGCAAAAACAGGCAAGGCAAAACACGGAGACTCGAAAAGGGGTACAGGCTAAACAATACTCAGTAGAGAAAGGTGGTTAGAGTGGGTGTTATATAGTGAGTGAGGTGATTAGAAACAGCTGTGTGCAATGAGTGCAATCAGTGCAGTGTGCAAATCGTGCAAAGAATGAAGGGTTATGTAGTCCGGGGTGCTATGCAACAGTTTGTATTGTGCGAGAGTCAATGTAATGGAAAGGGTGACCTCTGGTGGTGAATAAACGGAAGTCCATGGACCGAATTCGTGACACCAACACTGATTGTGATACCATTATATTTCGATATACTGTATATTTGTATTTCTATATACTATATACTCCTCAATATGACTATTTTTCCATGGTTACCTCTCATAAGATTAATAGAGTATATAAACATAGTTTTACATATTTATGTCTTCCCAGAAAATGGCGTTTCTGGATTAGACCTTTTGGAAGTCACTGGTTCAGTTTTAGGTAAGACTTTTTTGTCTTACATTTTTTTATAAACTAAAAGACACTTTCAGGCATGATTTTAAGCCTTTTTTATTACCTGTCTTGACATTTATGTTTAATGTCGCTGGTTGCATATGTGTGAATTAGTTTGCATTGAATATTTGTTGCAATCGCACGCAAAAAAAGAAAAGAAATCTCAATGTTTTTTTTTGTCATATTGTAGTCTGTTTCTCAGTATGGTAGGTACTGGTAATATATTTATTGTACAGGTTTGGGCCTGTTAGTAACAATCCTTTGTTGTATTCAAAACCCCAAAATAAACACTTCCATTGGACATTTACCATTACTTCAAACAAATGTAGCTATTCATCTTAGAAAGTAAGAAAGGATAGAGGCATTATAGGGTGTGCTATGTTTATTTAGTAGAAAGGCATTTTTTAGCACTGGCTGATGTCATGCTATTATCATTAAGCTTGTGCAAATGCAGCCATTGGATATTATTCTGAAGCTGTCTGGTTACTACAAAGAAATATTAACAATTATACACTAAGCAATTTTTTGTGTGTGTGTTAAATTCACTGTTGTGGTTGTCAAAACTAAGGGATGATATTTTGTCTTTATATTTTACAGCTCCTAACTGTATTCCATTAAATTATGTAAGATTAATATACCAACCTATTTGAGTTATTCATATCAATTTGTTACTATAAAAATGTACTGATAACAAAGGTGGTACAATGGAACGCCACATGATGACTCTACATTCATCAAAATCGGACTGTCCAGTAGCTGTAATAATATAATTATTGAGTAAAATGTACATTGTCTTTTAAAATATATTTGGCAACATACAGTCTTTTTCCAAAATTTGAAATACATTAAAGTAATTGTGTTGGTCACATATGCAGGATATATTAACATAGGCTATTAATATATAACTTTTAAAGTTGTCAACTCCTGGTCTACTTTTGCTGGTAAGCTTGTGTACTGTAAATTCTGAGCTGGGTAAATTACTTGAAAATTGAATTCCGTTACTGATTCCCAATTACATGACAGAAATTGTTGTTAGTTACGTAATCCATTACATTACACATTTTAGGTAATAATCAGACTACTTTTAGATTACTTTTGACCTAACTTGTTTATCACATTGATTTAAATAGGATAATCGTGTACCATATTGATATAAAAATACATAGGGAAAGAAAATATATTAATTGTTATTAACAATATGAAGTGCATTAAACATTACAGGTTTTCCAAACTGGGGTTCATGAGGGAACTGCAGGGGTTGGTGAGTTTAATGAAAAGCTAATAATTAATTACATCATAAAAATGTCAAATTAAAATTAATTATTTTAAAAATAACAACAATTCAAATAAAACACTTACTAAAAGATTAAATAATTTATTTGTTTACCTGCATGTCATGTGACCATTAACCAACGTCAGAGAACAGTGAACATGCACATTTGATACTTAATAATTAAAATATTTATTTTAAAATCTCAGGGGTACTTCAAGTAAATATAGTAGGTGAAAGAGGTTTGGCTGACAAAAAAAAAAGGTTTGGGAATCCCTGCATTAATTGTAAATAAGAAATTATTTGTGAAGAAAAGAATTTGTGCATTTTAATGTGTTTAAAGGGGTCATATGATGCTGCTAAAAAGATGTAAAAAGTGTATTTGGTGTAATGAAATGTTTATGCGGTTTAAGGTAAAAAAAAAAAAAAACATTATTTTCCACATACT